TAATTCCATCCTTTCCCCCCCCCCCCTGCCTTGCCCTCCCCTGCCCTGCCCTGCCCTGCCCTGCCCTTGCCCCACCTCTTCCTGCTTCTGCTCCACCCTCTTCCCCATGGCATCCTTCCGCTCTCCTGCCCTGAGGGATGCGGCGCGGGGTGTTCCGAGGGACCTGGTGTGGGGCGGCAGCAGGGTTGGGGCTCCCCCTGCATTCACCGCGTGGGGGGGGAAGTGATGCAGCATCCTCTGCTCTGCCGTCATCACCCGGGCCTGCTAGGTCATCCCACTTGGCTGCGGTGGCAGGAAACGGAGCATCCCAGCTCCAGCCTGCATGGGAGGTGGCAGCGGAGCGGAGGCTGACACATCGCTCCACTCCACTTCCCTGCAGCTCCTGCTGCTGCAGTGTGTGCACCCAGCCTGCCTAGGACCCCGGGGGCTAACCTGAGTATAGGACAGTTGGGGCAGCTGCTGTGGGGGCCCACCAGCCAGTCCCTATGTAGGGCGCCCTATGGGGCTGGAGCAGCCCCCTGCCCATGGTTACCGGTGAACCTTTCGTATCCCTGGTCCATACACAGATCTCAGGGCACCGGAGGTTGGCTGATATAACCAGCAGGCTCCAGTATGTCTCTGCTTCCTCAGTTGAATTGCCCAGGAGCGGGAGGCTGAAGTGACGATGATGTCTGGAAAGTTCTGCAGCGTCAAAGACTTTGGCAGGTTTGCTTCTCTGAAGCACCAGCGCTCATGATGCGTGGGAAGGGAGGGGGGCTTTCTAGACCAGCTCTTTGAATTGCATCCAGAAGTAAAAGCCAGGGCAGATGCTGACTTATAATTTGCTATGGGACATGAGTCCTAGCCACTGGAAACTGCCCCTCTCTATGCACCATCCGACAAAGGCGGTGCTCTTGCCTGTGTAGCACCATGGGCAGGCCAGGGAGCGGTGTCCTTGGTGGAGGTTGCTTGACTCCGTTGACGTCTCACGCTGGCCTGACGAGGTGTGAGAGGCAGCAGGTCCTGTGTTGCGGTGAGAGCCTGAGTAGGTTGCTTGTGGACAGAACACACGGGTTATATGTAAGTGAGCCCTGTCTGTGACTGTGTTAACATCTAGCCCCCTCTGCTACCACGTGTCTGTGTGTTTGATTTGCAGGTCTGTGGCTGCCCTCTGTACTGGAAAGCCGCCATGTTCAATGCAGCAGGGGGAGAAAGGACGGGATTTGTGTCTGTACGTTCGTTCGTAGCTATGTGGAGACAGTGAGTACAGCGAATAAGAACATCCTTCCTGGGGAGAGGAAAAGGCCAGCTACCCAACAGCCTGCCCTGCTAACACTTCTTCACGCCCGCTTTCTCACCAGCTGCTTCAAATCCCTCCTCCTTCTCTCTGAAGAAATCCATGCTTCAAAATCTACATGGGTTTCAAGTTACCTTCCCCATCACTTGCTGAGTGTGTGTTTCCCCGCTGCATTAATAGGTTCTGCAGCCGTTGACTAGAAGTCACCCATATCTGCTAATGTTTCCGTCTGAAGTACAAAGAGGCGGACACCGAGTCAGTCCTGAGATAGAATCGTTCCCTAGGACACCAGGACCTACTGTGGGGAGGATGGTCCAGTCCAGTCTGGTGACCCCTGTTGGAGGGAGAGTCCCACAAAACTTGTCCATTTGGGTGGAGTGGGGGAGAGGGGGCCATACCCTTTCCTCCTGGCGGCAGAGCCTCTCCTTGGCATATTTCCCGCTTGGGCACTTTGCGTGTTTCCACCCTTGTGCCTCCCTGACCACATTGGAGCACAGCTCTGCAGCAGGCAGTGGAAGCGTATCGTGTCTAATTTGCCATCCAGTGTTGCAACAGCCTCTCCAGTGTTAAAGCTGGTGCTCTCATTATTAAGCCCTATATTAGTTTCCCTTTAGTGCTGGGTTTAAAAGTTGGTTTTGCCTGAAAATTGTCCAATTTGCTCTGCAGCGCAGCAGCATGTTCCTGCAAAGAGCAATTAAAACTCATGCTCTTTTGAGCTCCAGGCTATTGAAAGTTTGCCTTAACTTTTGCTTCGGTATTTCATTACTTCTCCTAAAAATGCTCTTCCCATTCAGTTTTGTCACTGAGCTACGCAAGATGCAATTTCAAGGGAAGAAATAACCAAACATTTAAAGAGTTGTTGTTGAAAACTGGGTCTGAGGCTCCGTCAGTCAAGTTGATGGAGGAAAAATATGGCAACTCAGCATACTTTTTAATCTGTCCCTTAATGGGCTGGGCCTGCGGTGACTGTGTGCTAGGCCTATTGCCTACACTTAAGAGTCACCATCAGAAATCTCCACTTCATATCTTTTACTTTAGGGAGAGTTAACACAGTCCTCTAGGTGGACTATTCTATTTATCCCTGTTTTCAGACTGGTGTGATGGAGCTACTTTGATTAAATATATTGCACATTCTGTGTTTGGGAATGGAGATATATTCATGACATACAGTGATGGAACACTTTATATTCCATCATTAACTAAGGAGGCGCATCTACTACAGATAAACGCTTAAATCAGCCAAACCAGATTACGTGCACCTCAGATTTATAGCAGAACTGGCTGAGGAGTGGATCCTGGTGGAAACTTGAACTCCCAGGGCAGTGTTATGACTGAACACTGCATTTATTTTTCTAACCGTTTTCTATAATTTCCTGTATTCAGGCATCTAAGGTCTCAGCTTTTAGCAAGTACTTAAACATGTGCATAACTTTATGCACATGGGTATTCCCGGTGCGTTGAACAAGACTGTGCACAAGCATAAAGCTACTCACAGATGAAAATGTCCATCGGCGTTAATGCAAGTCTGTAATAACTAGTTCTTATTAATGCCAAGTAATCACTAGCAAATGTGTTTTAATTTTTGCAGTTCTTGGAAATGATGGAGTAATTTTTCTGAGTGTCTTATTGTTTCCAACCCAATAGCTAGGGAGGGTTCTGCAGCCTGGTGCTTTGTACAGTGTTTCTCAGTCCCTGTTATGATTGTTATCAGTAGTGGCTTAGTGAAAGCCTGAGAATTCTTCATTTTTTGTGCACGTTTTGGTTCTATAGACACCAGTTATTTAGATGACTATGTTAATCTTGACCCACAACATTATGCAGTAGGAAATAGCAAAGACTGGAATAACGTTCCACTCCTCTGAACTAGTCACGCCTCAGAGTCACAGACTAAGATATCATCCTATAGGGCATGTTTCCATTCAGTAAAGCACCACACCCTGTTAGCTCTCCCCGCCACAGCCTCCCTCCCCCACCCTCTCCACTTCCCACACACCCTTGACAAAAGAAGTCTTTGTTTGCCTCTTTGGGGTGATTAGTATGCTAGGGAATTTTGTCAGTCAAGTTTGGCAGCATCCTCAAATTCTGCAGTCTTGGAAAAAGATTAAACTATGGGGAGAGAGTCTAGTAGGGCATCTCGTTGGCTCCCTCGCTAATGGCTACTCAATGTTAAGTGGCCGTGTCAATCTTAAAAGTTCAGAATGACACAAGAAGTGGATGTTGGCAGCCTTGCCTTGATTTGAGCAAGGCTTTTGACACAGACCCCCATGGACAAGGCCATCCCCAGGGGACTTTGCTGCACCTCTGCTCTACCCCCACTTGCCCCTGCTCCACCCTTTCCCGCAAGCCCACCCCCTGCTCTGCCCCTTCTTTTCCACCTGCTCCGCCCAGTCGCTGTCTCCCTGGCTGCTTCCCCCAAGCCGCCCTGGGGCTGAGGCCGGAACGCTCTGCTTCTTGCTGCCACAGAGAAGCCGCGAGCCGGGGGGGAGGAGGGAGCAGAGCAGGCTGCTGGGCTACTCGGCGAGTGCCGCGGGAGGGTGACCCCTGCTGCTACACCACACCAGGCCCCTGTGGCTCCCATCCAGAGGACGGTTGAAGCAGCCACCATGGGGCCTAGGACAGTTGCTACACACCCAACTGCTCTGAGTGCACAGCTGGTTGAAAGACCGTACTCCGAGTAGTTATCGATGATTCACTGTCAAGCTGGAAGCCGTATCTAGTGGTGTCCTATAATGGTCAGTCCTGGGGCAGCTTAATAGTGTTTTCATTAATGACTCGGATGAGCAGAAAGATTGCTTATAAAATTGGCACATGACACTAACTGAGCTCTGGAATAGGCTGCCAAGGGAGGTTGTGAAATCCCCATCATTGCAGGTTTTTAAAACCAGGTTGGATAAACCCCTGTCAGTGATGATCTAGGTTTATTTGGCCCTGTCTCCATGTAGTGGCTGGACTTGATGACCTTTCAAGGTCCCTTCTAGCACTACCTTTCAATGAGTCTATGAATATTGATTTTGGTGGGCCATATTTAGCCCTCTTACACATATACATAGTGAAATTTTCCCTTTTGCAGAGGGCTAGCAAGAGCCTACTATGCCACGGAATTCCCTCTGAAATCCGCAAATTAGGGCCTAAATGAGATTCAAGTGCCTTGTGCTTTTGCTTTGCACAAAGGTGAATTTCATCCATTCAGAGTGAGAGAGGCAGAGTCATGTTCTAAAAACAAAGTTTTCAGGCAATGCGAAGACATAAATCTTTTCAACTGATAAGGGAAGCTGAAGGTATCAGTGGAAAAAAACTGTGGTCAGTGGAACTAAGGACAATAACAATGAATTTTTAAAACCTATCAGAAACAAATGCAATGCTAACAGGGGTGTAGGTTGAGTATTAGATGGGCATAGGAAAATTATTAATCATGGTGCAGAAAAGTTTCTTCAATAAATATTTCAGTTCTGCATTTGAAAAGCAGCTGGCTGACTTATTTTTATCTTACACAGTTAATTAAATGTTTTATATTCAAACAGTAATTAGGCAGAATATTAAACAGAAAACTGCTAAAGCAAAACATTTTTTTAAAATCACAGGACCAGATAACTTGCAACAAAGAGCTTTAAAAGAATTGGCCAAGCAGGTGATAATCAGGTAGAAGTAGAAAGGTGATATTGCCACTGGATTTGGCATTCGTGAGTCTGTTATTGAATACTGTGGCCAGGTCTCTTATCAACACTTCAAAAAACTGGAAGGTTTAGAAAAGAGCTGGAAGAATGTTATGCAGCCTAGAAAGCCTGCCTTATGTAGAAAGAGATGAGAGAAACTCAATTTTAGATTAATTTATCCTAGAGAAGATCAAGTCACTTCCTGAGCAGTGGGACACCGTGATAAGAAGCACCATAACCATTTCTGTCAGAGGGCTTTTTCGTTTTCTTCAAGGCAGTAGTTGCTATGTGACAGTCATCACAGTTATGGGGCTAACTGTGCCAGTGCCCCCCTCAAGTGTTTGGCCTCTTGCCCCTTAGCTGTCTAAGGCTGGAATCTCATTATTCTTTCACTCTTTGGGCAGACACAGAACACATGGCCTCATGTACCAATTACTTGTAACCCCGCAGGGCTGTCAAGGTTCAGACACCTTCCTTTCCTCCCTTCAGGGTCTTGTGATATTGACCAACTTCCTCCTTTAAACAGAGGTGTTTTATTTAGCAGTTGGAGCAAGACATAAAAAAGAGATTTAAAAAATAACAGTCTATTTACATGATCACATCTAATGTTACACCACCCTACATGCCCAGTTCGACGCCCTTTCCTCTTCAGCTGCACACACTGTACAGAACCAGCCGTTTGCATAACTTACATGGTCACAACAACTTTGTGTAAGTTGCCTAACTCCTGGGTGAAATTTGACACTTGAAATAAGAGAGCCTGACATTCAGACTGTGGCTTCTGATTGCAGTGTCCCCGGAGAGTACCAATTAGTGTGAGTATTTTGTACCCTTATCTCTTTCTCTCTCTCTCCCTTAGATTACTTCAGAGCTGCCATGATGATGCAGCCAAATTCCTGTACCTTTTAGCAAAACCCAACTGCGACTACCTAGAGCAGGAAGATTTCATCCCGCTACTTCAGGTACATATCCCTTGCTCAGCAGAACCTGGGTGGGTGAGCACGGGGGAATGGGTTTTGCTAATTTAGGATATTTGTTCGTAACTTCTTCAGTGAATGTAAAGGGCAGGCAGAGCTCTGGATGGGCTTCCAAATAGTAATGTGGGGGAGGCTCATTTATGCAAAACTTTCACTCAACCCGTAGTCTCCAGTTGGGGTAACTGTTTGGAATTAACAGGTAGATGCACTGAACTCACTCAGCATTTCTGCATGCTTGTATCTGCAAATCTCAAACCTTGGGACTGGAGAACATACAAGGCATCGTGAAACAGACCAATAGATGATATAGACTAAAGTATAAACCATTGCAGGTTAAGAGTGCAGATAACCATTATTTAATTTACCTAATCATACTACTACTCCCAGACTCCCAAGTGCAATTGTCAATTGGCACGTTTGCAAAGAATTATGAAAATAAAACACTGTATATGCCACCTAGACGATTACGTATTTATATTCTACTTTACAAATAACATTTCTTTGTATTTAACCTAAGTTATCCTTGTTTTAATTTCATCCCATTGCTTTTTCTTTTACTCTGATGTTCTGTATTAAACAAACATCCCTCTCCATTCTAGGTGTCTAGCTCCTTCAGATATGTGTGTCCCCGTATCATGTCCTGTCTTAGTCTTTGCTTGCCAAGCTCTGTATGTACTTAGCTCTTTTAATCTTCCTTCCATAAATTAGTCCCTCCGGCTTCTCTGGCCATGGGCTCATGCCCTTCCCTGAGCTCCCTTCGGTATCAGTCATTTCTGATATTGTGCTGCCCAACGTACATAAACGTGAAGATGCCTTGAGGGGCAAAATTGGGTCTCTGAGCGAGTGGTTGCCTTCCCACAAACAAAACTGGCACCATTCTGAGGTGGTGGGTGAGACTTCTGGGATGGATTTTTCTCGTGCTCCTGGGTGGCACTTCTTACATTTTTTTTCCCCACTGGTGGCACCATTCTGAGGTGGTGGGTGAGACTTCTGGGATGGATTTTTCTCGTGCTCCCGGGCGGCACTTCTTACATTTTTTTCCCCACTGTGCATGTTGCCTCTCCTGACTGACACCAGCTCCAGTTTGCAGCTGCCAGTGCAATCTAAGAGCTGCATAATCCTTTTTGTAGATTCATAGATTCTGAGGCCAGAAGGGAACCTCTATGATCATCTATGAGACCTTTTGCGCAGCATTGGCCAGAGACTATCCCTGAAATAACTAACTGTTGTAATGTTTCCTGGGCTGCTGGTCAGTCAGGCGGTGGCTGTTCACTGCCACTGGCCTTCAAGGAAGCCATGCAACATGCTTGGAGCCTTCCCAGGATCCTCTTAGAGATGGGGCACAGTCAGGCATGGAAACCTGCCACTGGCCTTCAAGGAAGCCCTGCACCATGCTCAGAGCCTTCCCAGGATCCTCTTAGAGACGGGGCACAGTCAGGCATGGAAGCATCCACTTGCCCTTGGAGAGGCTTGTAGTGCAGGCCTGTGGTGCTTATGCCGCCGATGGAGGTATTGACTGGCACTGGGTATTTCCTACAAACCACACGAGAGTGTATCTTTGTGAAAAGATTTAAAAAAGCAGCTTTCCCCCTGTTGTTGGGTATTGCTCTGGAAAGACATCGAGGAAGGGCTGTGCTTAGTCTTTCAGAAGAGGACTTATTTCTGATGCATCAGTAAGACAAATATCAGTATCTGTGAGGAAATAAAAGGGAATTTGGGGCGGAAAGAGTTGTGTGGTCCAGGTAACTCACTTTTTTTTTCTCTACCTCTAAAAACGAGTTTTCATCTGCTCAGTAATTCTTCCTTTGTTTTTCTGTCTTTAAGTAAATCAAAATGGCTCAGCAGGTGCATATTGTCCAGAAATGCCTGTACGTTAGTTTTAAAATAGTGTAACTTTCCTTTCTAAATGCTGCCGTTGCCTTTTAAAAAGTGCCCCAGAACATCACATTATAAACTCAGTCATTCTTAAACTCCGATTACAAGGAGTAGAGAAAAACACCTTCTTGTTCCAGTTTCACTTGGTTTTGTCTTTCAGGACGTGGTTGAGACGCACCCTGGCCTGACGTTCTTGAAGGATGCTCCAGAATTCCATTCCCGCTACATTACTACGGTAGGGTCTCTGGGTCTCTCCACCTTGCCCTGCGATCCCAACCCTCCCCTGTTTTACAGTCTGTCACGGTTCGTGAGCAAGTGTTGTGAGGTATTTGGAAAAGCATGTGTGTTTACCCAGGCTGCTAATGGTGGGCTATTGTATTGTACCATTTTGGCATTTCCTTGAGCTGCAGGTTGGATTTTTTTTTTTTTTTGGCCGCTGTCCTGACAACAGGCATCATGATAGCGAAGGAAATAAGAGTATGAGCCTCGTGCCTAACCACTGGACCACACAGTCGTTCCCACCCTCTTTGGCCTAGTACCTCATGCCCAGTGTCACCCAGCAGACCTGTTCAGAGCCAGGAATAGAGTGCCCAGGGCTAGAAGGACAAACAGACCTGCAGGCACTAAGTGTGTGCATGAAATGAAAGCGTAGGGAGGAGGAGTTTAAGTTAATTGGGAACTGGGGAAAGTTTTGGAAAAGGAGTGAAATTGGCTTTCTAGCGCATGAAATTAAAAAGGTGAAGAATGTTTTAACTAAGATAGACAGCTGACATCCCCTAGAGATTACTTTATCAAAGAGGGACTCTTGTATCATAGTAAAGAGGAAAGGGCAAGAAATTGGTCAAGTACAGCTCTGCACTAGTGAGAACTAGTCAAATGTAAAAGTCCCCATTAAAACGTGTGAAAGCAAGCAACTGAGTATTGACAGAATGTGCCAGTGCTTTTGGGCAAAGGCTAGAAGTCTGAATGCTAAGATGTGTGAACTGGACAGAGAGTGCCTGGCAATGAACCAGGATATTGATATAATCGGCGTCGCAGAAACTTGGTGAAAGGAGGCTAATCAATGGGACATGGTAATAACATGCTGGGATGTACCGACATACAGTCCAGACCAGTGGGAAGCTGTCCCATGCCTGCCCTGGAACTTGGGGTACCTGGCTGCTGCAACCTGGACTGCTCACACCACCCACCAGCATGCAGGTCACCCCAGATATGTTTGTGTAACTGCAGCCTGCCAGTCACATTCTGGCTCTTGCCAGCTTGGGTTTCACTGCTGGGTGACCCCAATGCGTCCCTAGTCCCAGATTTTCCCCCAGAAATTTATGTCCTGTACTGTCCAGCCCTCCCCGGACAGTCCAAATATATTAACTCTGTTGTTCCTTTAAGGGAAAAATACACCATCTTACTATCTTAAGTGGCATTACCCAATACTTCAGTTTGAACACATTGGATTAGATAAAACAATAAAACAAGTTTATTACTTACAAAGAGAGATTTTAAGTAAGTACAAGTCAAGAGGCATAAATGTCGGAAATGGCTGAAAGGAAAAGATAAAACGTGTTCGAGTGCTTAAGTGAACAGACTATCTTAGACCCAAGCAACGTTTCTCAGCACGTGCTTGCAACAAGATTACCGACCAAACTCTTCAGATCAGGACCCCTCGCCCAGAGTCAATGGCTATTTCCTTTGCTTTTTCAGGTGTAGTGAATGCTATGGGCAGAGAAGTGCCTTGGATTTCTGTCCCTCTTTGTTATCATTTCAGTCCTCTCCCTCCCCCCGAAACATTTCCATCTGAGAACCAGGAGACCACGTGTCTGTGCGGAAAGATATTCTCTGCTGGGTTTTTCTCATTTGTTTGAGCTTCCTTCGTGTTCCTTTCTTGATGGATAACTCTGTTTACTGCTTATATGCAAATTAAGGAAAGCCGATACTCCTTTCTTTACAGCAGACCTGTTTGCCGATTTCTGCCTAGCCAGAAGGAAAGCCGATACTCCTTTCTTTACAACAGACCTGATTGCCGATATCTGCCTAGCCAAGGGCTGCGAGGTTCGAAGCGTGTTAATGACATGATACGTTGGAATCTTATAACTTCACATATAATATTGCCACACATATTTTATCGGGACAACACAGACCAGCAAATTATAGGTTCCAAACGATATCTTGCAAGGTGTATTTTCTACAAAGATTTTTACATTTTGTAGGGAGTGAATAGAGGGATCTATTCCGTCACACAGGATACGAAAGGAGCAATGGGATAGGTCACGCTGATGGGGTGTTGCACTCTAGCTGAAGGAAAGCATGGTCAAATGAAGTCAGAATCTTAAATGAATCAAAGTGTAACCTTGATGTCTATAGATGGAAATTCCATGCTTGACGAACAGAGCGTAGCAGTAGGAACGTACTTCTGACCAAGATGGCAATTGTGAAACACTCCCCGCCAGATTAGAAAGGTTAGAAAGGCACAGAATACAATAGATAGCACATGTGGTCTTGATAACATAGATACACAGGCACAACCACACACAAAAACCCAATGTGTTGGGGAAGAGTCAACACTGCTTTGGTAGAGTGAAGTCATGTTTGTTGTTAAAAGCAAAATTCCTGTGGGTGAGGTTAAAGTGGATGAGTTTGGCAATGCCTTTGGGCAGATATCTGATGTCCATTGTCTTGTAAATCCAAAGGGTAAATTGCTTTTTTTTTAATCATTGACTAAAGCAAGGGAATATGTTCACTCAGCTTTATGAACTGATGTAGTTTAGACACCAGATGTCTTTAAGATTTCTATTCATGTGTTTGCTTTTTGCAGGTCATACAGAGAATATTCTACATGGTCAATAGATCTTGGTCTGGGAAAATTACCCTAACAGAGATGAGGAAAAGCAACTTTCTGCAAGTATGTCCTTAGCCTTCTATTCTGAAATATTTGTGTTCCTATAGCCCCCCGGGGCTCTGGCTACATTTAAAAGGCAGAGGCACGGCAGTTGGACTGGGCGGGGGGGGGGGGGG